GTGCAAATCATTGAAAAGATGGAAGAAACTGTATACATCTAGCGTGCAATCTTTGTGTCCTTTGGGCACTTTGAAGGAGCTGGTACTAGTTGTTGAAGTGGAGATCACTTTTGTGGTCGAGAGAGAGAGAATGATAGAAGAGATGAAAAAACATACTAAACACAGGGTCTTCTGGGGTATTGGAAAGGGAAGGAACAGGAAGGAGGGAAGGAACAATGTGCAAGGAAACGTGCCCACCATCTAGTTTGACTCTTCGTCACTTTCCCAGGGAGAGCTATTAGCCAAGGAGAGCTATATAACTGTTTCCCTTACTTCTTCTTACCTCCCAATAATTGGGGTAGGGGGTGCTACCTTTCCAAATTTTGCTTGGTATTATATTCCAAAATCTGGATTGAAATTCACAGCTAACATGGTTTCCCAAGATCTTCATATGGGAAACCACCTGATTTTCAAGAAACACACTATTTAAAGAGGTTTCTTATAGCTTTTAAAAGTCAATAGCTTGGGGAATTAAACTATTGTATTACGCACATGTAAGCTCAACAAGCAATGGAAATGAGATTATATGTCACTTTCCAAGTTGCAATAAAGTTATGCCTCTGAGAATTGAAAGATGCAGAAAACTTAGTTTATCTTGAAGAATTCATAGGGCACTGCACTTCTAAACTTTAAATAAACACTGTGCAGTTTGTTTTCATTGCAAGTAAGGCTGGTATGGGAATGTAGAACTGAATGAATTCTGAATCCTACCCTGTTCTTTTGTTCCTTGAATTGATTTGCTCCTTTTCAATGTTAAATGAAACTGTACATCTGGTAATGTATATTGGCAGAGAGAGATAAACAACATTCCTGTTCTGCGAAGGAACTAACTTGCTTGGCATGCAGCAGTGTATTTTAATATAAATTCTATTTCTTAGGGTTACTAGAAACCAAATGTGCTTTGATATATCTGATGATAAGCAGAATCGTTTTCTGATGTATGTGTATCAGAGGTGACCTGAAAAGCATCTGAGAGGCATTGTAGCAGTTTGTATTATGCATTTCAGGAGTTCTTTCAAAAGGTTTTTCCTTTAATGTCCAGTTTTGCTTTGCTTTGCTTTGCTTAAGAACTTGGACAAAATAACAAAAGGGCATTTTATAGGTTAAGTCAGCACCAAAGCAAATGTGTTTTAGGCCAGTGAGAAAGACAGTTGCTGCAGCCTATTGTATTTCTTACTCAGCAGCAACACATTTCAACTGACTGAAAAGGTATAAAAATCTGTACACTAACTGTTACCTTTTCATATTTCATGTATCTCCTACAATAATTGCGTGCAGGGAAGAATAGTTTTGTTGCTTTTCTTTTAAAAAGTTGAAGAACAATAAGTTAACCCCCCACATGTTTAAAATGACAAATCCATTCTATTTTTTAACGTAAAACACAGAACTGATGGTATTTTGATGCTGCACTTAAGATAATAATCTTACAGTAATCATAATTTTCCTGTTTGCAGGATTGAGTAAGTTCATTGAAATGCAGGCATTGAAGAGCTATTAAACCTCACAGAAATAGTGGCTATAAAGCATCTATTGGAAAAACAACCAGGAACCTATTTTGTGGGATTTGACATTTTCAAATAGGGATAGGAAAGACCTCTGCGTGAAACCTTGGAGAGGTATGCTTGTCAATGTAAGCAGTCCTGAAAAAGACAGACTTGTGGTCTAACTTGGTATAGAATGTAAGAGGAGCCATGCTGGATCAGAACATGGTTCCATCTAGTCTAGCATTCTGTTCACTAACCAACCAGTTAAAAATCCACAAGCGGGCATGAATTATCCAGTCCTGCTTTAAAGCTGTTCAAATTGGTGGCCACTACTGCATCTTCTTGAAGTTAATTATACTTATTAACTATGTACTGTGTAGAAGCACTTCCTTTTATCTTGCTTGAATCACCCTCTCATCAGCATCATGGGATGATCCCTGAGTCTATTGGTACTTAACTTCTTCCTATTCACTTTCTCCCATTCCTAGTTTTGCACACCTCTGTCATGTCTCCCTAGTTATTATAACTGATGAGATAAAGGTGTGTCTGCTACTCTTGTTTCATCTCTCTAAAGGATTCTGTGTTAAGAGTATGCAGGTTAGGTATTGGGGCCCAAGTGTCCCCTTCATAGAAACAGGTCAGTTGAAAATAAACTATAGGGGAAAAGACCAATATTTGTGTGGAAGAGAGAATTACTCATCTTGGTGTGAGAAGGCAATGAAAGGTTTGGATAGCAAAAAGTGATTGTAGGTGGGATCCAGTATTATTCCTATGTAGAGTAGAGGAACTGAAATGAATAGGTTTTCAGTTAGTTATGACTAATTTAAGTATTATTCCTTTCCATGGGTCCAGTTGATGCACCACAAACATGAGGAACTACCCCTTGTATTTTATACTGTGAGATGTTTGTTAGTTTTATCTTGCTGATTTTATAGTAAATTTTAGTTGCATTTTTATTGCTTAGAGGAATTTATTATGAGGCATGTAATATGTTTAATAAAGTGATAGAGAGCACATGAAATAGATTGAACATGTGAGCAGCAATTTGCAAAAAAGGAAAGAAAGAAGATGGCTTTGCATCACTTATTGTGTAGATCAGGAAGGACAATAAATGAAAAAGCATTGGTCTGATTGTTCATTGACTGGAATGAGAGAGGGCAATCATGCTACAAAGTGTGTGTTGTTTATAAAGGTTCTCTGAGCCAATTCTCTAATGAACCACATTACAAATCTGGCATTCAAAGTAGGGCCAGTACTGAGACCAGATTCAGTCTAAACTGGAATTACATCAGCTTTGCCACATGGCATATTTGACATCTGGATAATTTTGCTTATGTCTGTTCGATTGTATGTATTCCTGTCTATTTGGACATGCTACTTTCCTTTAAAAAGATCAACATGTGACTGATTTTCTAGAAGCAACTTTTCATCCTAGCATATTTGGTATGAATGATAAAAACTCATACAATGCCTTACTTTAAGTTTGTATTTTTCTCATCATAGAGAGATTATTTTATTAATTTTTATTAAAGAAAGATGTTGGTTTTTCATAATGGCTATAGCTGATATTTGGCTGAAAAAGCAATACAGAAATGTTTCTTATTAATTTGCAATTAAGCTCATATACTATGAGTTCTCTGCATTCAGTCTGTGAAGATACCCAGTGCCTGTTTATGGAAATAGTTGCATTAGAAAGTATTTTGTGTTTCCTTTGAGGATGAAAGCAACTCTCACAGAAGCGCTGGTACTTGCAGTAGATACCAGAACAGAAAACTCTCGTGTAGTGCATCAGTGGTGAAGGGTGCATTTAGCATTTGCTGATTTTTCTCTTTAAAATCCATAGCAGTGGCAAATAGGAGAGGGACACTTCTTTTGTTGCGTAAATAACACACACACACTGTACACATGTGATTGTGCATGCATTTTGGCCCTCATGAATCTCTAACCACAGAAATCTGCATGGAAAAGAAACAGTCACAATACGTTTAGGACAGTATCATATTGATGGAGCTTGCACAGAAGCACTTTCTGCTGAATTGTGTTCTTAAGGCCACAATCCTATGCATATTTAGAAGGAAAATAAGTCCTACTACTTCCATAACTGGCTGGGGAATGCTGGCATGGTAGAACTGTTTTCTGTCTCAGCATTCAGAGAATTGTGCCCTAAAAGACTAAATAAGGTTTCAGTGATAGTTACTTTACAAATGTTGATTTCAACAGACTTATATGTGTAGATACTATCCCCTCATTCATTTTCTTCCCTCCATGTAATGTTTGTGTTTTTCCTTTCAAGGAACCCGGGGCAGTTTAATTCTCATCTCAATCTTGTCCATGCAACAACAACCCTGTGCGGTAGGTTAGGCTAAGAATCTAGGACTGGCCCAAAGTCACCCAGGTAGCTCCATGGTTGAGTAAGGACCAGAACCCAGATCTCCTCCATCTTCACTTTTAATCACTACACTGCACTGGCTCTGTATAGCTTGGATGTCGCAAGACTATGACACAGGAGCAGGTAGCCTCAAATCTCATGTTACACTCCTGTCTCTCTCTCACATCTTGTGTTGATCTGTGGGTGGGGGGGGGGGGAGTTAATTATCATCCAAAGAGGACATGCTTTAGCAAAAAAGAAGACAGAAGAGGACACCAATTTGCATAACACTTGCATATGCTAATTTATATAGAAACACTTAATTTAATTTGAAATACAATCTTTCTGACCGAAGTGGGAAAGACAGAGCAGGTGGCTTTTATGCTTGCTCAAATAGCTGTTGCCCAGGTCCTAACTGCGAATGGGCAACTTCAGATGTTTGCATGCCAGCATTATGGTTCTTTGCACAGGCTTTGGATTGGGCAGCCCACTAAATGGAGGATGCTCTAATGATAGCCCTTGAATTATAGAATTTAGGACGCATTAATCCTTGTCTTCTGTTTTACTGTAGAAAGCCATATCACATATTGGGACTGCATACTAGTTTGGGGCTGACACTAGTTTGGCATGTTTGTTTCCTTTGAGTTTAAAATTATGGATATTTCTGGCTGTAACTACCAGACAGTTTTGTAGATACTGTGTTGTCCCACAAACTACCATACCTTGCTCCTGGAAAGCTCTGAATACTTGTTACAGCCTAATTCTGTGAGAAGTAAATCTTAGTTTGTTTGATGGCAGTTAATTCAAATTCCATGTGTATAGACATGGAGCCAAAGGGAAATCAGTATTTTGTCGCCAATTAATATTGCAGCATGTAAGGCATCTGGAGCACTTGATCTAAGTTTTGGATTGTACTCCCAGATTGCATAGAGAAAGAATGCTTGTTCTGGAAATAAATCAATTTCAAAATTGGAAACTTACTTGAAACTGGACTTGTTTTCTAGGCTACTTAGTCAATCCACTTTTCTGTATTTGTGGCATGTTTGCCAAAAAAGTTGGCCACCACTGTCTGCAGAGTGCTTTAATTATTATTATTTCTCTATTTTAAGGCTATGGTCAAACTGGTCCAAAGTTTCAACGTGCAGGCTATGACTCCGTTGCAGCTGCTGTTTCTGGCCTCCTGCATATCACAGGGCCTGAGGTATGTTACTGCGAATGGAACAAAGTGCTACTATTGTATTTTACAACTTGGCCGTTGTTCATGAAGATATGTTTTTTTTAATGAAGAGCTTAGGAGATAGAAAATAGTGAAAATAATGTAATTACATGTTTAAGAATCATCTGGGCATGCTGTCACCAAAAGCCTAAAACAATGCATGAATTTGAAATGCACTGCTACGTATTCTGTCTCCCACACATTCACATGGACTGCAGAACATAAGCACTGTGTGATCACAGATACAGTTAGCAATACTCTATAAGAGCACAGATGGTCTGAAAAAAATCCATGGCAACCTTGAGTAGTATTGCCAGCTGTCCCTGCTAAAGACAAGTTACTTTCTCAATAAACTGGTCAGTATCCAGCAGGGCTGCTGTGCTTCTGTTGTGTTTACAGAAGCCACCACTTGCAAAATGGGCTTTTACATTTCTAAAAATAACTCCAGAAATGCCCATTTCTAGATCTTGATAGGTTGGTGGAGTTTCCTGATGCAAGCCGCAGTTACTCAATTTGTTCTGGTAATAAACATTTTCAGTAATTTTGGATTATTTGTAGAAACATCAAAGCAGTGAGTCCCATGAGGACACAAGGCAAGAAGGGTACTATCCACTGAGAGGGTTCACACAACATGTTAAACTTGTTTAGAATCTTAGCCACGCAGTCAGACAATTCTCCTGTGACTGACAGACAATCAGACACAGTAGGGGTTGCATGAGTCCTTGTCCCTCCACTTTCCCTCATATCCCCTCCTCAGTCTTCCTGTAGTATCCCAGAAGACACTCAGGAGCACCAAGATGTTCCCAGTGCTGGCTGCAGCTTGACTTCACTAACAATAAAAAGATTATGAAAACTGCCATTAAATGATGCCCTTGCAAACCTGTTTGGAGGAAACTGGGAGATTCCTTCCAAAGGATTTGCCCTGGTACCTTGCAGGGGAACAGGGAGGAGTTCTTATGATTGCCCACTTTTTCTGGAAATTTTGAAGAGTCTGATACTGGTCAACTGCAGAGACAGTTGGGGTTCAGCATCCTCTCAAAGACCCAGGTATCCTGCATGGAAGGAGATGTCCCCTGAAACATCCCTTACAAGTTCTTGGCACTACCCTTTGGTTATCCTTACTTGGGAAAATGAGCCAAGGGGCATGTAAGCATCCTGCCAAAACCCAATGATGTGCTGCAAAAGCTTCTTTCCACTGACCACCATGTTTAAAAAAAAATCTGAAAAAAAAATAAAGCAGAAGGCCACTAAGATGCAATCCACTAGTCTCAGTTTCCCCATTTACTCTGAATGGATTATACTTAGGGATGTGGTGAAACTTGAGGGAAAACCCAGAGCCAGGGGCATGCAAGATTTGTAATTTAAAGGGACAAGCCTGCATCTTTGCACTGAGATTTCCCCCAGTTTTGAAGTGCCTTCCCACAGTTAGCAGAGGAAGAAAATTAGCAGTTGGAGTACACCTGGGGAGGTGGAGCTCCCCCAAAGAAACTGGGAAATCACACTGCAAAAAAAAGGGGAAACAGCCACTGTGGGTTTGCAGGGAGCTATCCTGTTATACTTCGACACCTTGGCTCCTTGCAAGGCAGTAGTGGAGATTTCTGGCAGCCTGAGGATGGGTAGGTACTGGGCTAGTTGTGGTGTGTGCCTGCTGGATTTGGACAGCAGCACCCATCCTTTCACTATATACCTGTGTACCCAGGTTGTGCTAATGGGACCAGTCCTAGTAGCACTAAAAACTTGCCTTCCTTAATGCAAGTGACTGCCCTGCTTTAAAACAGACTGATAAGCTTCATACCAAATGCACCTGGTTGCTTAAAAAAGCTTGGAAAAAAGTGGCCAATCAGGGGCACCCACAAATTAGCACTAGATGTCCCCAACCGGGATTGCAAAAGTCACCTTTATCAGTGGCTTGGGTGATCTTAAAACAAGCAAGCAAGCAAGCAAGCAAGCAAGCAAGCAAGCAGGCAGGCAAATGTGAACCTGCAGCCTGCACTGAATGACTTGCCATAGCCTCAGAAAGTGGGGGAAGCTGTCCTTTGGTACTTTGGGGTGTTTGCTCACTGGCCCCTGGGCTAAAGTGACAAATTTTTCTGCTGCTCTTCCCAAGAGCCTTTTGTGGGGGGTGGGGGGGCTGATCATGGCTTACGGCCCTCCCCTTCCCCCTTTCTTTTCCTACAAATACATCTGGGACAGTGTGGCCTCAGAGGCATTCTGGAACAAGGAAGAAGCAAGTGGGCTGGTTGGAATTCTGTCCTTTTTCCAGCATGTTCAGTAACTCCTCAAGATAGCATGCAAAAGAAGAACTGTACAATGTGGGTGAAGCAATACGCCTTTTCTGGAGGGGAGGGGAGCACCTTGTTAGGCACTGGAGAAGCAGTGCGTGAGCTGCAAGTCAGGTTTAATTTTCTCCTCACCTACGAATTCACATAATGACCTTGGGCAAATTACAGTCTTTCAGTCTCAGATTTCTATTGGCAATATAGAGATAACTGCATTTAACTATCCTATAGGACTGTTTGAAGGATTACTGAAATAACATCTAAGAAGCTCTTTGAACCCATTGGAGCAATATACAAATGTGAAATATTATTACACATCACCAGTTCTGTACTGAAGATCTCAGCAGGCCATGTTTATGTGTTATGATCCAACATTCTGATTTGGCTGCTGTTAAGAAAAACTTTAAAATTAACCAACAAAAACCCTTTAAAATGTTATGTCATGTGTATTAGCTGAAACTGATAATGACTTAAATGGATTTATGGAATTTTAATAATAGAAAGCCCTAATATTCTTTGTGCAGGGAAACCTATAAAACCTCTTTTAATATTATATGATATTGAAGGCATTAGGAAGAAAAAGTACAAATGGAAGAAAATAATAAAAATTAGACCTGAAAACAATTATAAATAAGGCAAAGCTATGTTTCTTCTAATTGCTGATATAATATGCATTCAAATTATAGTCTTTCCAGGGCAGATAATTTTTTTAAATAGTTAAGCATTTCAAGTCATTTGTAGCTTTTCAGCTTGAATTGATCCCTATTAAGCCAGATCAGGGTAAAATACGGATGATGCTGCATCTGGAATTATCATTTGGTTATCAGGCTTTCCTGTGTAGCTTTGATCTCTAGCCAACACTTTTTCAAAACATTAAAGCCATAGCAGTAGGGTCAAAATGCCTGAGTAAGAAATATGGTGCCACATTCAGAGAATAAATCCAGAAAAGAAAATTACTAACAGTTTCCAAGCCTGCTCCCCGCCTCCCCAGTTCTTTTTATTTGTTGTAGTGTTGTCACTGTTGTATTTAATTGCATGAGCACATTCACCTATAACAGTTTACTTAATGGAACTCGTTTGAAATGTTCACAAACCTTCAGCATTTGAAGTGTTATTGATCTTACTTAATTATGGAGATAGCCACATACTCAATACAGATGCCTTTGTTTGGCACCAGGCCATTTTGGAATAACTTACAGGAATACAACCTGAATGGTCTTGCATGCTGGAAGCAATTTTGAACACCCCAGTCCAAACTATCATGACTTCCTATGTTGATTTGGTTTCTGCTGCCATATGTGCTGCTGGTTAGCAAAGTGCAGGGCTGAAACTAATAAATTGGTTTCTAAATCTGACTTTCTGGATGATGAATTGTGTGTCAGCTGACAATGCTAAATACAGACCAACTTTGCTGCAAAGTATTTGTCTTAGTCTCATGGTACTTATTCCTAGTAAAGCCGTAAGTATGTATAAGAAGTACAATCCTAGTTTGCTCAGAAGGAAGCCACAGTGAATTCAGAGGGGCTTTCTTCCAGGTAAGTATACACAGCAGGGGTTCTCAGCCTTTGGTCAGTGAGCATATTGGGAATCCTTGGGCAGTGCTGTGGGTGCTCTCAAAAATGAGGGTATTTTGCCTGTTCATAAAATGGCTGCCATGATCCCTTCTGGTCACAGAACATTCATTTCCCAGAAGTCAAACGGGTGAGCTGCAAACCACAAAACTATACTTTTGAACTAAATAAAGATGTTGCCAAGGAAGGGTGCTTTGCTTTGCATCAAGTCAAATAATTTAAAATTCTGTATAAAAGCATAAGGGGGAAAAAAAAACAAAGGCAAGGAGCCTGGCAGGTGTCAAGAGAGGTGACTGTAGACACATTGAAAACTTCAGTTAAATATGATTGAGGTGACCCTTGAATTAATTTCGTGTTATCCTTGTCCTCTGCTTCCCTCTGTTATCCCTTTTTTGTGAAAGTTGGGATTTGTAAACTCTGTTTCATAAATTTGAAAAAAGAAGTGGTGGGGTGCAGTACTGAGATGTCAGTCCATCTTTCCTTACCCTTTCTGTTCTATTTTCTAGGGAGGTGAGCCTGTTAGGCCAGGAGTAGCTATGACTGATCTCGCCACTGGACTATATGCATATGGAGCAATTATGGCTGCACTGCTTCAGCGATATAAAACAGGAAAGGGGATGCACATGGACTGCAATTTGATATCGTCTCAAGTAAGCTCTTAGCTAATATCTCTTATTTGTATGAATAATGATTAATAAAGGAAAATGAAAACCCAAGCCTCTCCTGTAAATTACATGGTAGGATTTTTATAATCTGAAGTATTCATTGTATTAAACATTTCAAACTGTTAAAACGTTATTAGCAGCATGATAAATGTGGACGTTTGGGCTTGATAGTTACCAGTCTGATCTTCAAAACAGCAGTTTAACAGTAGCCCTATTAACGTGTTCCAGGGAGGCTTCTAAATATGCTCAGGTAAATGTACAGTGGTACCTTGGCTCACAAACTTAATCCATTCCAGGACTCTGGTCATGACCCAAATTGGTCATGAGCCAAATTAAATTTCCCCATAAGGTTCAATGTAAATAAGGTTAATCCATTCTGTAACTATTTTTTTAATCAGACAAATTTGAAGCAAAGTGGCAAAGAACAACAGATATTGCAGCCATCTCCCCGCACCCCCAGCATGACCGCAATTGCGCCTGTCATCCCTGCATGTGCCAATCATCCCGACACACTGGGGGGGAGAAAACTGGTGTGATTGTGGACATGCTCGGTGGGAGACGGGCGCGAATGTGGGCACTCTGGGGGTGGAGAGACGGGCGCAAATGAGGGTGCACTTGTGGGGGAGATGGGCAAAATCATGGTTGTGCTCGTGCAGGAAAGACGGGGGCAATCACAGGTGTGCTCCTGCAGGAAAGACAGGCGCGATCTTGGACATCTCCCCCCTGCGTGCAGCATGATCGTGGCCATCTCGGGAGGTGGGGTGGGGAGATGGCCGCGATCGCGGTTGCCACCCGATGCGGAGTTCGCAACCTGAGTCAATTTTTTTATGAAATTTTTGTTCGCGGCTCAATTTGGTTGTGTACTGAGGCGTTCGTGAGCTGAGGTATCACTGTACTTAGGATTCCCCTTCAGGCCTTTGTTGAATGCATAACAACAGAGGGTGAGCTGGTACATGTATGGATGTTGTAGAGAGCACCCTGCCCCCCAGCTCCATACATATGTCTTACTATTCTATATACATGCTGTATCCTTGAATGGATCTAGTGTAATACTTCTTAGAAGCAAGCCCATTTAGTTAAATGGGTAGAATTCCCAGCTAAGCACTGATAAGTTTACCTTCTAAATTGTAACTCGATATGTAGCCCCATTTTCTCTACCAGCAGACAATGTATGTGTGAGCACTGAAACTGTTATTTTATCAACTGAATTAATGGTGATCTTAATACAGTTCTTTGCAAATAAGAAGAAAGCATTGCCATATTTTTATTCAATTACTTTATGAAAAAATCCTGGTGACATATATACCCCATAGAAATGTTTCGGGATCTAGCACTTAATTGTGGTTTAGATTTATTAATTTCCGTGACATCTGTTTCATCACCTTAGCAAAGGCTGTGACAATATAAAAAGTGTGGGACTACCTTGGAGCAAGGTATAGGAGGGCACCATCTTGAGATAACCTTTATTTTTGACAGAAATACTAATGGGTGTTGAAGAGAAAGGTCCTGTTACTGGAAACAGTGGCTTCTGAGGAGTTGTTTTCATCAAGAGCACAGCAGGAGATGAAAGAGTTAAACTCTCCCACCCCCACCTGCTATTCAGTGGACCTGCTTTGGTTCCCCTCTGCACGTTTATACTTTTTTTTCCTAAAAGCCTTTTTGTACTTCTACAAACCTTGTGGTTTTCCTTGTGTCTGCTGATACCTCCTCCTCATGCACAGATGAAATGTTTTGGCTACATGGCACTTAGTCAGTTTAGGTGCTGTTAGTGTATGTGAACTGCAAACTTGATGTGCATATTTAGGGACTCCAACCTTTTTGGATTGCTGGGTACATTTGGAATTTGGGGAGTATTATGGATGGTTCTCACAGACGGCTGCTGTGGATAGGTATGATCAGTCATAGAACACCCATTTTTTAGAAGACAGACTTGTGAGGCTTAAAGTAAACTGACTTGCCTCAAATGCACAAAACCATTCTTTTGAGCCCACAGTTCTCTCCAGCAGGCAGTTCACAGAGGACAAACTGGTGAGGCCCAGATAAGTACCTTGGCCAGTAATCTGAGCACCAGCAGGTGCAGGCCGTGCCCCACTTGCCAAGTCACATATGTGTTCCTACAAATCTCAGCAAAATGAGGGATGCTTTGAGAAGTCCCCACACCCACATATGGGTAAAACACTTACCCATATCACACACCAGGAGCAAAAACAAATCTTGATGAGTAGAGAGCCAAACCTTGGGAGATGTCTGTGGGCACCATGGTACCCAGGGCCCCTGTGAATATAGAGGAAAGAAGTGTTTATCAAACTTTAATCGATAAAATTAAAGCTCTCGACTTCTGGGTGCTGAAGCATTTGATAATAAACCTAATGTCAGTTCTTTAAAATGCGTTTAAAATCAGTTTCATCATACGTTCTTAATTCTGTAGATTGAGTAAATTAGATAACATCTGGCTGAGTGCTAGTTGATCATTAACTAGTGGCAGGGCCTTACCCACAAGAAAATGAAATCAAGATCTTTCTTGAAGAAAGTTGATCCTCAGTTAATGGATGTTGGAATCCAGAGGGCTCCAGCATTCCATAGTCCATTGCCTATGAACTTTTAACCCATGAAATAAAGTTCCTTTGAAACCTTTTCCCCACTCACATGATTTATGATTTTCAACTCCAAACCTTTTAGCATCAGCATCTAAATAGTATTCTTAGATGATAGTAAATAAGAAGGAAGTGGTTTCAGGACTTGTTTCCAATTATGAAATTGATCTGCCTTCTGCTGTGGCCTGAAAATATCTCTTGGAAGTTTTAAATATCATTCCTGCATTTAATTGTAACCAGTTGAGGAACAAACAAACAAATAAACAACAAAGAGACTTAAGCCATTCCAAATTCTGCAGTCTGCCTCAGCCTGACATTAAGCAAAAAACCTAACACTTTCATAAAATTCAGCTATTTTTATCACTAACTTTTTCAGTTTCTACTAACCAAAGACGTGTGCTTTGATTCACAAAGCTATGCTATTAGCTCTCAGGTGCCCTTTCTTTCTCACCTCACTCCATGATGCAGGGCAAGTTGCTTTTGAAACCAAGGGGAGTTTGCTGCTGCAAAAGCAAGGGGGGGGGTCATTTTCTGTAGGTACACGTCTCTTTTTTGCCTCTCTAAAGGAATCCTTTGGGCCTATGGTCAGCATTTTTTCAATAAGATGCTGGTAAGCATGTCCTCTGCTTCTAATTATTGAATTTCAAGTGTATATCATTCACATGTACTATATATTCTTTCAGTTTTATTTAAGAACTCTCAGAATGTGTGTTTACAGTACCTTTTATATGCAAATATGGGAGCTACCCTTGGTTACAGATATTTTAACAAATTAGCTGTCCATCCTGCAAATGACTAACCACTTGTGAATAATGTGTGCAAAAAAGAAGAAGTCCAAATAAGTGTGTTGCAGAATCCCAAATAATGACATTTTCTATGTAACTCCTATTAAAGTATTAGACATGTAGTTAACTTTAGCTGGTTTCAATTGCATTCCATTGAAATAAGTGGGACTTAAATGCACCAACTGATATCTAGAAAGTTATACTCAAGTGCCACCTATGGTTGGACCCAACACTTCTAAAATGAAAAATGACAGCAAAAATACATTAGCTTAGAAATTTACCATAAAATTATAAAAGTTACCATAATTATAATTTATTTCCCCCTTGATATGCTTGGTTCTTTCCATTTTGCGGGGCAAGGAAGGGAAGGGTAGTTGTCTTCTAGTTTTTCCCTTTTAAACTGCAGTTTTCTTATTGAATTCTCTGGTTCATAAATAAAACTTCAATAGTGATATAACACATACACATGCATTCTGATTTGTGTACCTATGTACATATACTACTCTTTGTATTTGAACTTTTCTCTTTAAAGAACCCCTTGAGTAGGCATTTCTTTCTTCTACCCTGTGATGTTCCAGACCCACTGACTGTCTCCTGCCATCTCGAAGTTTCTTTTCCCTATTTGGTGTGCAGCATTAGTATTACCTCTCATCTTAGCTAAACACATTTGGGATGACCAATACAAAGGAGGAAAGAGTTCAGTTTCCTTTTAAAGTTGTAGTGCATTGTTGTTGTTGTTTTGCTTCTGGCAAAGTGCAGCTTGTTATGCAAGTGGAAAAGCAGGAGACTTGCTGAAATCCTCTTCTAAGCAGCTCTTAAATGAACTGGGGCTTTTCCTCAGCAATTAACTTTTCTAGATAGCATCTAAACAAAGACAGACCATGAGCAACAGAAGAAGAGATAAATGTAACTGAAGACAAATGGAGTTATTACCTTGCAACCGTTCCTTTTTTTCAAAGTTATGATAAGTAAAGTGCTCTGCTATCTTAGCTTATTCCTATTATTATTCCAGTTCTGCAAAAAAAGAAAAAAATATGGAGAAGGGGAAAAGAATGGCTTTCTCCAATTCATCCAATAAGGGCCAATTTCAAATAGTCCTATGCAAATACATTTGGTTCATTGAAAATTAGTGGCGTCTAACAATTATAATATAAATTTTTATTTGTTTTTGAGAGACTTCATGGTTGGCTTTTCAGCATGTTGGCATGATCCCACGTTTTAAATCTGTTTAATCGGCTAGGGGTTTGGTCCCATTGAGAATGAGGTAACAATAGAGTTGCTTTAAGTTCTGTGGGACTATCAACTGAAAGAGGTCTAGGAAATATCAAGATAATTCTTTTACTCAGTGGTATCTTTTCAGCCACAGAATTAAAATGAATCTGAAAATCATTTTTGACTTCTGTTGATGATAATTTGGAAAGACAGAGGTAAATTGGGAAAAGCATTTGACATGTATCTTGACTTTGCATGCATAGAAGGTTAATATTATTTTAGTGACTTCCAAATCAAACAGAATTTCAAACATCACTTTCTTTGAGCTACGCTGTCTTTTGACATGGAATGTTTGAACATGCATTTGTATGGAATATGACACAAAGTGTTCAAAGGAATGTGAAATAGCTGGGTGAACAGTGGGTGTTCAGTAGCACTGCAAAGATTTAAAGCTGGATCTTTCACTTTAAAAACATATTATATTTCAAACACTCTGCTCACCTTCAGAGATTTGTTTTGTATGTAACCATACAGCTCAGTAGGACAAAAGTACTTAATAATAGGCAACTTTCAATTGTCTTTTTTAGTGCTAAAGTCACTTTAGTGTTCATTTAACTAAGGCAGTGAAGGACTGCCTCCATGCATTGTACTTGATCTCTCTCCATCTGCCTGTGCTGTATAAAGCAAGAGTTCATAGCACTGTAGACTGTGGTGTAGACAGTTGAAAGCAAATGTGTCTTTTGAAGTGTTTTTGAAGTATTTCCTTTTAAAGAGAATTCTGTTAAAGCAAAGCCTCATTCTGTTGTGAGATGTGTTGCTTTCTCTGCTGATAGAACGCATTTCTAGATTAATAGAAGTAAGCAAATTGTTGTGCTGATGAAGAAGTGTTGTAGAAATATCGGTCACCTCTTTAAATTTGAAACAATGCTGCAATATAATAATGTACAATGTTAATTTGTATTGCTTCTTTTTTTTTGTGGAAATTTTGTCCTGACCTCTACTGTTATTTACACTGTAAAACACAAATGTTTCCATGGGAGCCAGCAGCATGTAACCAACTTGCTTGTGTGGCTGAATCCTAATAGTATTGCTGTTGTGCGGATCAGTGCTTGGCAATGTGAGACCCTCCAGATAATGTTGGAGTGCTGCTACCATCAGCCCTAGCCAGCCCTGGCATAGATCCTTGGCCATGTGGAACCATGTTGGAATCCAGTCCATAATCAGCCTGTGCAAGCTGAAGTAAATGCTTGAACTGCCACTTAAGGTAAACAGTTTGAATGCAGCATCTCATTAGTTGGGTGAGTGCCCTGCTGCTCTTGGATCTAACCTGAGGCTACAGTTGCAGGCCTTCTCATGCAGGTGATGTAACATCTAGAAACCTGAACAGTGTTAGGTGAGAGCCACCTTGATAAGATGCACATTAGTCTTTCCCAAACTGGTACTCAGATATGTGATGGAAGTTGTTGTCCAACACATCTGGACAGCACCAGGTTGGGGAAGACTGATGTAAGCAAACCTTCCTTCACCCATAGCCTGCATGCAGGTTTATGAGCAAGTTAACTGTTGTAGCTGTCATTCCCCTACTTACGTCTGTTGCAACTGTGTGGCAGCTTGTGCGGGAAGGGGCAGTTCATTTGCCTGATGGATTGGCAGTTTGCAGATCCCTTTTCTAGAAAATCCCTCACTAATTTGTCAAGGCAAGAAAAGAGATAGGCAAGAATATGATGCTTTTGTTCTGCTGCTGCTGGGGTTCTTGCTATTTTGCAGCACCCTGAAGCAATTGAAGATTCTTGTTAATGCACTGATATATATTGAAATTTGCGTGTTCCTATGTCTTGAACATGCACATATTTTTGCACTGTTAATTATGGTTGACTGGCTGGGAGGAAGTGAATGCGTGGGGTTAATCTAAGTTTAGGAAGGGCATGTGAAGATGTAGATCTCTGTCTCTCTGTCTGTCTTTTTAAATAAAGGATTAATAAAAATAAAAATCCCTACCATCTCAATGCTTATTACAAATCCCATTTGGAGGTTGCACAGTGTATTTTGATGGAGTCAATGAGTTTACATTAATGATACTTTGTGAGATTTTTTAAAAAGCTTTTTGAAACACTATTCCTGCTTTGCTGTCTGATCTTCCCCTCTGGCGATTAATATCTTGTTTCCCTGGCTGTTCTTTGATTCCAGCCAAGTGCAGTTTTAGCATTGCGCTGTGGAATTTAATGTTGCCTTGGTATTATTAGGCATATAGACCTGAACATATGATGTGGTTGCCCTTTGTGATTTGAATGCAGAAGAATTCAGGTGTGTGTATTCTCTTCAGTCAGTTAAGAAAGAGTGTTAGGTAAATGTAGACAGCCATGGCAATATACATTTACAGCAGGTAGATCAGTCTGTACAAATGAAAGAATGGTGAGATTGTATCTCTTGGAACATCTGCTTTAATGTCTAAAGACAACCCTTGCGGGTTTGTTTCTTAAAATGGGGGGAAATATGCCTTGTAGGTATCAAAGACATGCAACCTGCTGACTAAATAGTATTTGGTAGTGAGATGTATGGTTTTGCTTCTCGTCCTGAAAGACTGCAAAGCATTTGGAAGCATTGATGAGTTTTAGCATTGTCTTCTGCTATTTTCGCAGCGGCAAGAGACAGTTGTTGCAGCCTTGTATTTTGTAATCTATTCACAAGTAAAACATTTGTTTGGAGAATAACAAATAGTACTTTCACAAATAAAGATACGAATAATAGGCTCAGGCTTATTATCACATGGGGAAATGATCACATTTGACCACAGTGAATCTCTTCTACATCTGTGTCTTCAAGGGCAACCTACCCCAACTGGTGCTCTTCAGATGTTTTGACCACTGAAATAATCTTCCCTGACCATTGGCCATAATGGCTGGAACTGATAAGAATTGAAATCCAAAGCCAGGATTTCAAAATGCGCAGGGGGTGTATCGGGCTGGGTAAGACTCCCTGGGGAATTCCTACATATCTGCTGAAGAAACACAGTGCATTGCTAGAGATTCTGTTGTACTACAGAGGTAATTTTGGTAATAATGGACAAGCAGTGCTTATCTCTTGCCATCAGTCTTACTGTTACAGAAGCTCTGATAACCTACCACAGACAGGAACTGGTTTCTAAACAACTGATTTAGAGTAATATGAATATGTTTCATTATGCCTACATAAAGGTAACCGTTTGGTTCATGCTTAGGCAAACTAAGTTTTAGTTACTGTGAGCATGACTTAGCCTTGCACACTCAGATCGCTTTCCTTATTCAAGAAAACCATAATTTGTTTTTTGAAGCAAACTAGGCAAGCCATAGTTCAGTTCCATGCTGGTAATGGAAACCACAGCTTGATAGAACTTCAGCTAAACATGGCTTGGTGTTAGACAAAGTCTATGTTGCCACCTATAAAAAAAATAGAACATGGGTTCTGTAAGATTCTGGACTTCTGCTGGAGTCAGTTGTGCATATCACAGAACTAGCTGGAAATGAACTACCTGATCCATAAGAGTTTGACAACAGGTAATGAAGGGTAGTATTTTGTAATTTAAAATCAATTGCTCTATAAAGTTATTTCATGTGTTTTAAAGGTATTGCCATTTTTAACTATTTTTTTTAAAGTTCCCATGATTTTTAGCTGCCTTAAGTGCTATTTTCTTAGTGGAAAGGCCAGGGTAAAAGAAAAGAAAAAAGTATGGCCATTTCTTTTGCAGGGGCAATTAGATCAGAAATACTGGGGATGACTTTTTCCAGGTTTTTTATGCTTCTGTGTAGACATTCTTTTCAAATCCAAATTTCAACCATGTTTGTAGAAAATGTCCCCTCACAACTTGTCTTTTCACATTTGATAATTAAATTTTAAATTCTAAATGAGTTTTTGGCTCTTCATTTCTCCAATTTCTCTAATGAGCATACAAATCAAAATATGAAAGTTTGGATTCAAGACATCAATTTTATACAAATATGTCTTAAACACCAAACATGTCAGTTGTTCTTTCTTTTGGATACTGATGGTTATCTGTACTACAGTTTTCTGTACTTGTGTCTTTGGCCTAATAAAATGTTTCTTCTTTTCTAGTGATGATGTAGCATTTTTAAGGATTGATGCTTAATTGGATTAGATCATATTTCCAACATTTTGCCAAAATCAACCCATACATATATCATAAATAAAAATTCTGTCAGTACTGCCATGTGGGCAGAGAAATGCATGGAGTGCTAAAGCTACCAAGCCTTGTAGGAATGGGACTGGCATTACAATGGATCCTGGGACAGACCCAGACCTAGTGCCACATTATGAGCTGAAGGCTTAGTAAGATGCCTTTAATGCCGTCACCAAACTCTTCCTCATCATCTGGCGGGCCCTATTCCACCACCATACCATAGAGAAAGAGCACGAGTGAGAACAAGGAAATGGGCAGAGGTGGTAGATCCAATGCTTTCATTCTCTCTAGCATGGTCAAGAGAAGTGGGCTCCAGACCAGCTAGATGAATTGAAAATGTAGGGAGTAGGAAGGCAGGGAGACTAGAGAGAAAATGAACAGATACCCCAGCTAGAAAGCCTGGCAGAGTTGCTCAGGTTTGCCACTTGACTCAGAAGCATTTGAGGTCAGGCTGGATTAAGAATAGTGAATTTCCTCTGCACTGTGGCTCAAGTGCCTTGTCATGGGTGACTGAGTTCTAGCTAATTAAGACAGATGCAAATAGAACTTCTAATTGTGGTCCTGAAAAAAGCACAGTGACAATCTTTTATGAAAGGTTTTGGAAGTGCTTCTGTTCTTTCAAACTTATGCAATGAGGTGCCTAGCTTTGCATTATAAGTTACAGCTTAGAAGTGTTTTACCTTCTGTCTCTCAACGGAGTAGTTCAGGTATTGATTCAGTGCTCTTTGTTTTGTAGCACAGCGGCAATCATGCATTCAGAAAGCTAAATGATATAGCAGACTAAATATAAACTTGATATCTGTGCTTTTCCCTGTCTTTGCAGGTTGCCTGTCTTACCTATATAGCCAGCAATTTCCTAAATTGCAAAACAGAATCCAAACGATGGGGCACTGCACATGCAAGTATTGTCCCTTACCAGGTAAGCTAAGCAAAAGGGCAGATATATGCATTTTTCTCATTCTGTGATTTTGGTAGCTTTGAATTTGAAAAATGTCTTTCCGTGAACCACAGCTTTTTGAAATCCTGCTTTGTCTGATTAGAACAAAGTTTTGTTTACTGTCTGTGCATTGTATTTTGTGTATGTATTTGTCATCAGCAGGTTAGTAATGCGAAATTGGATTTAAATTGATCAAAGTTGTTAGTTATGGAGACAGAACATTGTTGAATTATGGTCTTGATGGTTTTATGGCTGAGTGGAACAACCTATGCCTTATTTTAGCGAACATCCTATTGCATAGTAGTTACAAAAATAAATTTAGCTTTTATGCACAGAATACACAAAGAACAAAGGTTTATACTGCTTTTTGAATCCTCTTGGGTATAGACTGTGTATATTAAAATGTTTCTCTGAAGCTATGAGGAATGGCAATGCAATGAAAATCAAGATTTTAAAGGAGCCAAGACCTACATGAAAATTCAAATTACAAGTCTGTGGCCTTGTATATTTATACACAATATATTTGTACATTCATATTTATAGAAATATTTGTACAAAATAATAGTTGCAGCTCCATGCCTAAAGCAATCCTGCTAGTTAATGTAGTGTTTATTTCCGATAAAGCTATACCAATAATTACTCCCTCCTTCATGTAATTAGGTAGTCATTAACATTTCTCACTTACCTCTCCCTTTTCTGTGGAGAAAAATCAGAATTGTCTTATGTGTACATATAAAGATAGCTCTGTATCAAGAGATATTGTTTAAAAGACTGCTACTTGCATCACAAGTCAGTTTGCTAGTTTTTATTTTTAAATATAAAAAAGCAGGGCTTTGGAGTTTGGAAGAATTATACCCCTATTCCTCTCAGGCCAAAATAATGGAGAAACTGCAATATTTCAGTTAAATCCCTTCTCTCCTCAAAACCTAACTCAGCTTTGTAGTTTGTTCAGATATTGTTTTCCTTGAAAGCACCAATGAACACATAGGCCACAGCTATATTATTGTGATCTAAGTTTTCCTTCTCAGCAGTAACAGTCTCAGCAGTGCTTCTTTGCCAGATGTCTTTATTTTATACATAAATCTCTGAGCATATACACAGCAAACTGTTGAACCCTCTCTGGCCTTCTTTACCAAAAGCTTTGTTTATGAATCCTGCACCTGTCCCATGGGAAGGAGTGCTGTGGAACCAGGCACACCTTAGCTCTTCTCTTTTTGATCCCAATTGGGCCACCCTACAATTGTGGCAACTGATTGTTGGGTCCACCTCCTCAGGAGGCTGGAGTTCCCCATCTGATAAGACTCCCCATCCCTAAATCTCCCTTTTCAGGATGTTGTTACTCTTCCTTGCTCCTATGGGCATGTTGATAGGCCCTTATGGCTGCCTTGAACTCTCTCCCATAGCAGGCACAGACGGGTACCCAGGGCCTTGGACTGCAGCTGGAACTGGGTCTGTTTCAACAATCATCTCATTTTCAGAGTCTGAGCTGTCAGTCCTGCTGGGATTGGCCAACTCCTCTGCACACATCTCACTCTCAGAATCTGAGCTGTCAGTCCAGCCAAAATTGTCAGGCTCTCATGAGTGCCCCCGAAATTTGCCAGAATGCACATTCAAGAGACATTTTAGTTCTGGACCTTACATATTAGTGGAAAGCACCAAGGTGAAGTAGACTGAGTTTATCAGCTCCAGTGCGAGACAAGAAGCGCAGATTGGATGCACACCGAAATCTTACCAGAGAAGAGTCCTAATGAAGGCAAGGAATTCACACAGACTTCACAAGCTTATGAAGAACTCAGGACTGCTGAAAATATTCTGGCCATTTCCAAAACCCAATTCCATTTTGTGTGGAATAAGAACCTTTAACATAGCCAGTATCAGGACAAGGATTAGGCAAAGCAGTATCAGGCTTAGGCAAAGCAAGGCAGCTGCTTCAGGCAGGAGATTTGGGATGCCATGAACAGGCAGCAAATTGATAACCATTTAATTTGCTATTGCCAGGGATGAAGAGAGGTGCTTGTTTTTGGTCTTACATGGGAAAATTATGTGGCTGGCTTTGGGTGCCCTTCGTTTTGACTTCGTTGGATAAGGCACCATTTAAAGTTTGAACGGTCTTCCTCAGGGGATTCTGACTCTATTTCTTTAGAAGAGTCTTCTGAGTTAACAGTTGAGGGTGAGGATTCAGTTACATAAAGGCATCACAAAGCTCCCACAAGGTGGACAGGAAGACCTTAGGCCTGTCATCTGCATCTGGAAAATATTGCATTGCCATTTTCACACTTCAGAGGCTCTAGCCATGAAAAGTCTAGCATGTCACAGCGCTCTCCATATTGATCAAACCTGAGACCAGGCTGCTTCAAGAGAAAAGGCTTCAATCTGTGGAGACTGGACTAACAAACCTAAAGGAAGCAAATTCCCTGTTTAAAGCTCTCTATTGATCTGTATTGTGTAGAGAAGCTTCCCCAGCTCCAAGCCCCAGCTCCACTTATTCCCCAAAGTGCTGCCTCCCTGCTATGAGACAGCAATGTTGCCTAAAGCTTTAGTGCACATATATTATATTCAGCCTTTTGGTACTGTCCATGGAGTTTTCATGGGAAAGATACTGAAGTGGGTTGCCATTTACAGCTTGTACAACAGGTAGCAACTAAAAGCATCTCAAAGAAAAAGAAATGCAAGAAAGCAAAATGGCTGTCTGAGGAAGCTTTACAAATAGCTGAGGAAAGAAGGGAAGTGAAAGGCAAGGGAGAAAGGGAAAGATACACCCAGTTGAATGCAGAATTCCGGAGAATAGCTAGACGAGATAAGAATGCCTTCTTAAAGGACTTCTTTAATGAAGTTGTTGTTGTTAGTCACGAAGTTGTGTCCGACCCATCGTGACCCCATGGACAACATTCCTCCAGGCCTTCCTGCCCTGCACCATCCCCCGGAGTCCACTCAAGCTCACACCAACTGCTTCAGTGTCTCCATCTAGCCACCTCATCCTCTGCCATTCCCTTCTTCTTTTGCCATCTGTTGTTCCCAACATTAGACTCTTCTCCAGGGAGTCCTTCCTTCTCATTAGGTGGCCAAAGTATTTGAGTTTCATCTTCAGGATCTGGCCTTCTAAAGAGCAGTCAGGGTTGATCTCCTCTAGGACTGACCGGTTTGATCACCTTGCTGTCCAAGGGACTCACAGGAGTCTCTGCCAGCACCACAATTCAAGGGCCTCAATTCTTTGGCACTCAGCCTTCCTTATGGTCCAACTTTCACAGCCATACATTGCAACTGGGAAAACCATAGCCTTGACTATACACACTTTTGTTGGCAGGGTGATGTCTCTGCTTTTTAGTATGCTATCAAGATGTTGGCAATTTGATCTCTAGTTCTCTCCCTCTTCGAAATCCTGCCTGTACTTCTGGTAGTTCTCGGTCCACATACTGCTGGAACCTAGCTTGTAGGGTTTTGAGCATCACTTTGCTAGCATGTGAAATGAATGCAATGGTGTGGTAGTTTGAACATTCTTTGGCAGTGCCCCTCTTTGGGATGGGAATGTGAACTGACCTTTTCCAATCCTGTGGCCACTGTTGAGGTTTCCAAATTTGCTGGCATATTGAGTGTAGCACTTTTACTGCATTATTATTATTATTATTATTATTATTATTATTATTATTATTACTACTACTACTACTACTACTACTACTACTACTATTATTATTATAACATTTCTATGCTGCCCCTTGCCGAAGCCTCGGGGCGGCTTACAACACAATAAAATACATTG